TGCACTTAAAACCTTAGGCCATAGACCACGTGAAATCCGATCGAGATATACAGCTCGATGAGTGGTGACACGCTTGGTACAGGCCTTGCCAAGTTCACGTAGGACCTCGGAGGCAAACGAACCGCATAACTTACAATACCAGAGCTTAAGATGTGTATGATACTGCATGGCGTGAGATTGATCCACCCACCTCCCCGCTATGTGCAGACGAGCCTGGGGGGGCTTATAAAGGATGGACCCATTATAGTTGACGGGCTGGAAGCATTCTGAATGGCGCCACTTGGTTGCAGCAGCCCTGCTGGCCGAGCCTCCACAACAAGTGCACCTCCTCCCACTCTCATCGAGAGCGTGAGAGGTAGAGAAGAGGGAGAGGGCAGCAGCAGAGGGGGGACGGGGGACGGAGGAGGATGATGCTTTTTCCTGAGCGCCAGGGGCCGCATCGGCCAACCGCACAAGCCTCGCTCTCCGCTCATGAATGAGTATGCGCTGGCGGAGAGACTCTGGCAGACGAGCAGCGCTGGCCGCGGCTCCTGCCACGACATCAACAACCGTGTTGCCAGTGACTGCCCATCCCGGAGCGGCCCCAGCCTGGATCTCCGCACCCCCGAGGTGGGAATGCACGAAAATCAAAGAGACTGAGTTGAAACCGCGCTCCTGAATGAGTTGCCCGAGCTGAGCCCACAGGTCCGCGTCAGGCCCGCTCGGACACTCGAAGCGCCTGGCGTACCAGCCTTTGATGACAGGCTCGCAGTCTGTGACAGAAGTGATGCAGCCGCTCGTAGCCCAAACAGTTAGAAGCAGGCTCCTCAGCTCTCCGCGGGGGACAGCCTGCCTGTCACCGCAGAGTGGCCCACTGATGGTCCCAGCTATGGACACTGGGCTCCAGCTCATGGAAAAGTGCGATGGCACACCAGACGCGACGAAACTTGGTGACAGCGGTGTCGGGGCCACCGCTGGCGTCGCCAAAGGGCAAGAGAGGAGCTTGGCCTGTACCATGTCCGAGGCATCCTGGGCCAAGCTCAAAAGGACCTGTCACAACCCAGGCCTCATCGCGGGCAGGAGGTGGGACGGCCACCCATGGGGTAGGTAGCAGCCCCCTTAGCCAAAAAGCAGGCTCAGCCTCCGCTTGCACAGTGGCCTGGTGCACTAGATCCTCTGTCATGGTGTACGCCTCCTTATTAGTGTTAGAACTGCACGTCCAAAAGCGATGGAGAGGCGTCTCAGGCTCAAGCTGGCGTCGAGGACACTTGTCGGTGCCAGCAAAGCGTGGGATTTCGGCCTTCTTCCTTGTACGCGTCCACGTGCTGCCAACTGCGACCGACAGCATAACTTCACCCAGCCGATGACCGATCTGCGGTACGTCATGTAACTGCTGGATCAGAACACGATAAGAGTCTACATCAGATCCGTCCTGCAATCCTTCACCACAGTGGTGCCGACTAGCCTGCTGCCAGTACCGTCGCTGCAGCACCTCCGAAAAATCCTTGAGGAAGCCTGCATGGCTGTCCAAGGCCTTCACTCCAGTGTACATCGCATCATCAAATCTCCACTCATCACCAGCAAACTAACTCATGAGGCTCAGGGATACCCCACCCAGTAGCCGAGGATACAGACCATCCAGACTCGATAAGATGTAAAACGGCTGTTCAGACTGGTCCTCGGACATACTTGGTGCGGTGCCGTTCTGGAACTCCTTGAAGCTGCTGCACCACTGTCTGCCAAATGCGAGATACCCCTGACCGCACATCAGGATGATCACGCCATATGGATAGATACATGTCTAGGCACTGCACTGGGAGCTTGACGCCTGGGTCCTGCTGCGGTGCTCGGATCGCCAACAGCGTTGTCAAGCACTTGCCCCGCGTCGGCGCCGCGCACGCAAGTCCCAGCCGTCGCCGCGCCTGCGCCAGCCGCTGGCCGAAGGTCCCGTGCACCTGGAAGCCGTAGGTGCCCGCGGCCTGTGCGCCCTGGAGCTCCAGGCGGCGCGTTGCCTTGTAGCGACGCGTCGCCCTGGCGAATCTCCCGATCTTCAAACTCATGCCCTTGCGCTTAGCGTCCCTCTTGTTGCGCGTGGAGCGTGCAGCGCGAACTCCGCAACTGAGGTCCACTCCAAGGAAGCTCGCCTGGGACTGGGCCGTGATGTGGTACCCAGCTTGTCGAACAGCACGCGCCATCCATCTCGCATCAGCAACATCAGTACACATGACCACCGACTTCGGGGACACCCGCAGCTTGCTGGCCTCCAGGGACCTGCAAGTGTCCAAGATGCAGGCCTTCAGCCCGCGACGGACGGGTGCTCGTGATCCTCGTACCTGCTGTGAGAGGTCGTCAACCCACACTCGATGGCTCACCAGCGGATGTTCCTCGACAGCCCGCTTCAGCACGAAATGAGTGAGCGTCTCACCGAATCTAGTGCCCGACCGCAGCCCTTGGACAATGCTGCGCGTGGGCTGAAATGGGGAGGATGTCGCCCCCAACTGGCTGAGCACCCTCGGCGACG